TATATATAGTCGTTGAAACAAAAAATTATGACAACATGGCATTTCTTTTGAATATAAATACAGTGTTCAATAGTGTACATGCCTTGTCATAAGTTTTTGTTTCAACGACTAATAATAATATATAATTTGAGAACACAATTGGATTTCCAAGATCTATAGAGTCACTAAAAGGCCCATAATATTTCCAATCCAGGTTTGTGCCGTGTTTACTATAGAATTATTACTTCTAGTCTACAATGGCCTTTATTATATTTTTCGATGCATAAAGAATGCTTTTAAAACATGTTGATTTAACGATCTCACATAGCTTTCTATTGGAGCTGTCTATTATTGACATTTCACATTATGATGATGTCAAGCTTGAATCGGTTTGGAAATTCCCATGTATGAAACGCCACTAAATACATAATTACCTTCAACACATTTTAGGTCAATTTACCAAACATGAATTTTAACCATACAGGTATCTAAAAGTGAAATCATGTTAAATGATTGTTTATAAAAAAAAAGGAATAGAAAGAATGATTTAAAAATACAGTAGGCCTACTCGTTTAGTTTGTGATTAGCCGTGTGTCTGTTGACGTACCGTGGCTGATTACCGCGAACCGTGTGCTTCAATTCTACGAACTACTAGTCTAGTAGTAGCCTACTTGGGTGTCTCATAATCAAGTACGAGTATTAGACGCTTCGTGATATTTTTGGAGCTTTGCTTTGCTGATTTTGTCATATTTCGTGTTCTACCTATTCTAAATCCAGGTATAGTAGCGCATGGACGAATCGGTAAGCGCTTAAATTGATGTAGTATCAAGGTACCCATCCTTGCATGCAAGCAACCCAGTCGTGTGTCGGCGTGTCTGCATGTATAATGTCAATTTTCGTTTATCAGTTTGTCCATGTTTTTCTTATAATTTTCTAATCGAGGTTGTATTTTCATGGTAAGATGTTCTAACTTTATCCCTCTGCGAGTGTCCCGCGGGAGAACAAAATTGTTTACGTGGGTTACTCCGATAGAAAGTACCTCATTTTTTACAATACAGGATTTTACCAGGGAAGTATAAACATTTTACTCTCTGATCTTACTTTTCGGTGTTTGTCTGGAAAATGCTCGGTCTGAAATAAACTTTTCTCTCTTGGAACCGCTTATGTTTTTGTTTGTTTTAGTACTTAAGCCGTGTGCTTTTGCATTTTTTTGTTTTTTTTTTTGTTTTAGTACCCAAGCCGTGTATTTTGTATTTTTTTTAGTACTTATGCCGTGTTAAATTGATACAATTCAAAATAATCTATATCTGTTTGGCACCACCAATATTATTTACACTAGTTGAATTTTCGGTCGACGTGTCCACGCCCCACAACAAACTTCATCCAGTCTTCAGAGCATTATAATTGATGTAGGTTCAGATTATTCTAAGAAGATGTTTTAGTATAACATGCAATTACTATTGATGTGCCCATATGGTCATCCTGACCATATTTAGGCATGTCACATGTTTTGTCAAATAAAATTTCATAGTCTGGATATGGCTTAACACTCTTTTTTACTTCAATATTATAGGAAATGATGATTACGTCACAGCCGGGAAGAGAAAATGCCATTTACCCATACGATCCAGAGTCCCTGCAAGTAGTCAACTCCATCCCTGCAAAGCACAAAAGCAGCCAGAGGCTGTCGGAGGAAATCAGTAGGACCGTTGCTGACCTGTCTCAAAATGTTGAGTCTCTTCGTAGCGGCCTTCATGGCAACCTTTCCTACGAGCAATTTATGGCAGGTAGGTCACAGAAAAAAAACTCGAATGTGCAGCGGCGTATCTCTGTCTCTTATACACATCTAGATGTCGACGATCCGTTAAGGGGCACTAATCGCAAAATATGATGCTTTTAGGTGATTTTAAACTACTTGACCGTGATTTTTTGGGGGCGACTGGAAGGGGGGGGGGTTGCGAGTAATTTCAGGGGGAACGTGTGCCCCCGCACCCTCCCCTAGATACGCCACTGCGAATGTGAACACGTTTTGCCAATGTTGATATCAAACGATGTCGATATTTTCTTATTATCTCTGTAGTCTAACAGTTACTGATTCTATAAATATTTTCCCCAGATATGATGTACCACGATGAGGTCGTACTGGCTAATCGACAGTTTTTGCAGTATGCCTTCGTAACATTTGAATTGCTGTCGAATCCTGGAAGTCCAGTGCTGCCGCTAAAGAAAAATATGACGCAAGGGAGAGCTTTCCTGACCAACCGTAGGTTGATTGTGCTGAGCAACGAAGGAACATGCAGTAAGTGTACTACTTCTTATCTCATGCATAATTTACATTGGGAAGCAAAAACCGACTGTGATTTGGTGGATATTAGGTTGATTATCTATGCTCAATCCAAACTCAACTCTTCAAGACAACGCTGGAGAACTCATTTAGCACTTCACAAAGACAGCATTCACATTTGATGGTTTCAATGCAAACAAGTTTACACTCCCTTTCACTTGGCTAGGCTACACATGACATCATAGTTCGTAATTATCACTATTTTACCTTTGTTTTTTAGGCACTGCGGTTTCTGGATTTCCTTTAACCAGTGTGAAACCGAGTAAATACTCAGTGAAGTGCGAGGCTGGTGACGCTTTCCATTACCAGTACCTGCCACTGAGCAGCATTCGAGCTGTCGAATTTGATGCCATCATTGGTGCATCGATGTCTACATATATTGACAGCCAGGAAGCGTGTTGCCTCTTAAAGATGCTCAGTTGGTTCGGGGTGAGTTTAATTGTTGGATCTTGTGTTCGACCATCCTTTTTTTTTTGCGATTGTGAATTTGCGATTGTGAAGCACTTCGACTCGTGTTTACGTATTTCTGTTAGCCAAAGGATCCCACCATTCCATGTCGCTGCTTGTTGGTGGTGGTTATGTTGATGATAATGATAAAGGTGAAGACGACGGCCACCACCACAATGAAAATTATAATAAAGTAGCTTAAAGTTAAGACAGCATAATATTATAGAGGAAAAGAGGAAACAAAACACTGGACACCATCCAAATATTATAGAAATTACAGTATAGCATTTTTTATCTTTCAGCAAGCGATGTGTCTGCGAAGTTGGTATGAGGTGGGCCGTGTTTCAAACCCATCTTTGAACCAACGTGTTCTTAAATTGAGTGTGGACCTTCCACCATGGGGAAATCCGTGCATTATGTCAATCTATGTACAGCCCACTGTCAGTCTGCTGCTTGTTAAAGAATTTCTCCGTGACTTACAGTCATATTCGCCGGCGATGAAAATCAAATCTTGTGAGAAAGAGGCCTAGACACGAACGAGATCAATATAGAGTAGTTTTCTGATTGCTTTTCTTATCCAAATTTAAATTTGCACTTAGTGTTATATTTCACTGATAGGTGTTGCTATGCTAACATAATTTAGAAAAGTTGAATAATCTTATAACAAAATTTTTTTAGAGTTGAAAACTTTAACTGTATCATTCCTAATTTAATTGAGTCTTCACCTTTTAATGTAAGCCTAATATATATTTTTTCTTTTTTATAACAAATCATAAATATACTATATAATATAATATATAAATTATGATATAATAGAAATACACTATATTATATATCTTACTATGTATATATATATATATATATATATATATATATATATATAAAGATAATGATACATATATATATCTAATTATAAGTTTTATTATGATTAATTTTTGGTTACTTTTTAAATGTGATTGTAATCTGTAAAATCTTTTGTTATTAAAGATAAATTTCCTTTTTCATTTTACTATTGGTTGAATGTTGATATTTATATTTGTTGCTTATTTGTCGTACATATGTGGTTACTTTAAAATGCATTGCCAAATAAAAATATTATGTATTCAACATAAAATTAGTAATGCATCTTGAATAACTTATAAATTAATAAATGGCTTTTGTTGTCACCAAAATGTTTCAAGCTTAACTACACCATGTAGAAAATGTTAAAGGTCTAGTCACGTCATAAATGAACACACTACTTCAACTAAAACAATGCAGGGGCGGATCCAGAGATGTTCGAAAGGGGGTGGGGAGGGCAAAAAGTGGTGCCGATCGAGATAACACTACCCTAGGGGTCCCGCGAAAATTTGGTATTCTAGACGCCCGAAAATAACCTCTAAGGCGCTTTGGGCGATACATTTTTTCTTTTTTTCTGTCTTTCTTTTCTTTTATCTTCTTTTTTTTTTTTGCTTTCCTAAAAAAGGGAGTGGGGTGGGGGTGTCCCTAAATCCGCCCATGCAATGATAGTGGTATCATTTGATGTGGTATCTCATTTTACCAACAAAGCATTAGACGTCACAAGAAGAGACCGAAACAAGAAGAAGGAGAGTAAACTCGGGAGTGAACGTTGACACCATTACCAATGGACTACAGAATAAAATATTACTTTAGCTTACTACAATTGCATCTTTTGATGATGGCATGAACTTAACAAGTGTCCAATGAGGACGAGGCAAGCAATACGTGCGTGTCTCATAAACACATGCTGTCCCCCACAAACGCACGTATGTTTCTACGCTGTTTAGTGGGACTTTAGCAACAAAATTTTAGGGGGCGGGGCTTAGCGGTAACCTCCATTATAGTTTAAAAAATTATTACAAAAATCTCAGCAATGAATTTTTAATTTATTCAGCAATAGAGCGAAGGAAAGGGGGAATTTTTACTTATTTGGCAGTTGGAGCCATTTTCTTGGAAGACATATTTACCGGGGCGACTTTTTCTGGGGCATTTTTTCGATACCATACTAGTCTACAATGCCTTAACTAAAAAGGGAAAATATATGCAATCAAACAATTCTGTCATCTTGGTTTCAAAGAAAAGAAATAATTCATAGAGGTATTTTTCACTTATCTCTATTCATTTTATTTTGTTTTAAACACTCCAAATACATTTTGAATTTAAATTATATTTCTGAAATTGCAGAGAGCCAAAAGATATTCCATTCCAAGTTCAAATGGCCGTACAGTATATTTTATTATTATTTCAAATCATATGTTACCACAAACTAAAAGCAAAAAATAACATTGTCATTTTTAAATCTAACAATGAAAACTATGGCCTACCCTAACTTCGGGCCTACTAATAATTGGCTATTATTATTAGGCTATTATTGTTAAGTATTATATTAAGTAATATTATTTTAGTGTAATATTAAATATTTTATTTTTTGTCCGTTTTAATAATTTTATCTTTCACTGATAATAATAATAAATGGTTATTTATATAACGCATATGGGCCTATTGCAAGAAACTGCCCCTTAACAACAACAACTAAACCTAGGTGACGCGAACAAAGGAGCTGGTTTCACATTTGTCCTGGCACAGATACCGTAGGTAGGGCCTAATTGTTGATCAGGTAGATCAATTTTAGTATGCTTTGTCAATTTCATTATTGTACATTTACTTTCATTGATCCGATATAATGTATCCTGAATAAATATTTTGCATAATAATAATGTCTATGTTAAGTCCCAGACTTACTGTTTGGAATGAGCCTGATTGTACTCGAGGCCTAGTCCTACTAGCTCTGCCCACTATAGATCAATCTCTTCTGATTAATTATTTAAATTTATTTATTTTAATTTCATATTTCGGTGATTATGATGTAACGATTCCACAATGTGAAGATGTGAAGCATTTACTTCGATCAAAGAGGTATAAAACTATTTATTTTTATACCTCCTTGCTGCAATTGATGCTACTTGATATATGGTGTCACATTCAATTTTCGGAAATTGAAAGTACTGGTAATTGGAAATTCCCACGTATGAAACACCGACATGAACATATAAATATCACAAAATTAAATTTTTGATTAATTTACAGAATCGAATTTTTACAAATTCATTCAATAAACATCTAAATAAAAGTAGATTCAAGCTAACACATTTGCTTAGAAAATGGGAAATATAAAGAATAATTAAGATATATACAGTAGGCTTAGTCGCTTGGTTTGTAACTTCATTGGTGTCTCCATTGACGCACCGTACTTCCTGGGGAAACAAAGTACTTGTTATAGGCTAATCAGTCTATACTGTAATCATCCATACAATTCTTTTGTTATCAGTTGCACCGTTAGTATTGTGATATCGTATCTCGAAATTTCAAATTTTACAGGCTATCTTAATTGCAGGATAAGTTTATTACAGTACATGGACCAAACGGTAAGCAAATAATGAGCCTCAATTAATGTTTATTTAATTATTCTATATCCATGATCATCATCGCATGCATGCAGGCAGCATCAATAGATAAGGGCGTGTCACTGTCTTTAACCAATATTATCACCATACTATGCATTATTTTATATTCGAATTGTGGAATAGTAATTATGCAGGGGTGTCATTTTAAGCCGGCGCAATCTCCGTCTATTATGATTTTTGCGCCGGCTATTAGAACAGGTAAAAATAAAATAGTGGCCTGAATCCTAGGCCCACCAAATGGGCTGTCCATGCCAAGCCCTAAGAACCAATATTTTACTTTTTAAAATATAGAATCTATATTGTTAAAACAAGAATTTCTATTCTTTCAAAAGAACACACGATCCCCAAAACGATCGACGCGACAGCAAATCAACCCACATAGGGAATCCCCAAATTGGTTCTTGTAAACAAGTTCGACTCAAAATTGAACCACGGAGCAGACTTGGTTTGATTTTCGAAATATAATTTTGCTGGTTTATTAATAAACGTAATTTATCTTGGTACAGTAGTATGTGTTTCAGTCATTTAATAAATTTATTATTCATTGTGTTAACTTTTCTCGAAAAACATTGAGAAATTCCCTTCTAAATCTAGCATTTACCACGAAAATTATAACAGCATTCTTCTAGGCCTAAGCTTATAGGCCTATTTTGTACGATACTAAATTATCACAACAAAGCAAATAAAATTTCATTCAAACACATTGTCACAAACAACGTTCAACCAAATAACGCCGTCGGCGAAGAACATCTGGACAAGACCGCTTTGTAGATAACACGTGATCGGCCGTACGAAGTATGCTATGAAGCAAGAAGTAAAGCGCCTCGTCCGTCATAATATCATAGAATATGCGTGTATATTTTGTAAGATGTTTTATTTAATCATCACAAATATTAAGTCAAAAAAAAAAATTCTGGTCGAGCGTTGAACCCCGATCGAGCGAAGAAAGACCACGTGATCCACCCTAGGAAGTATGCTAGGAAGCAAGATGTAAACAACCTCGGCCGTTATAATGGCATGTAATACGCGTGTATTTCTTGTAAGATATTTAATCATCACGAATAAAGTAAGTCAACCAAATAGTTTTAATGTTTTACTAACACATTTTCCCACGTCTTCACTAAACAAAAACAACATTGACAGTTGATTTGAGAGAAAGACTATGCTGTATGTACGAGCCACTCTACAAAGTACGGTATGAGGTGGATCAGGGTGTGGATACTCGCTAATACGTACAGTTGGTCATGATATGAGTAAACTAAAAATAATGCAAATGGCCCAATTCCGGCGCATGATCTTTTTTGGAAAAGATAACAATGTTTCAATAATCTATTTAATGATTGAAATAAATATATATTGTATCAAGTTATACGTTTAATAAAAACATTTTTTTTTAAACCTCCGTTTTTTAAACTCCATGGACGTGGTTCAACGTACATTCGCGTGAACAAATTCGGGGATTCCCCGTGTGCGTTTATTTGCCGTCGAATCGATCGTGCGTTGCTCAGTAACAACTTTTATTTTAACATGACTAAACAATTAAAAGCTTGAAGAAAATATGATTTTCGTTCACCGTTAATTTATGTTACATTCTAAGGTTATCTTGACAACAAAAGGGCCTCTGCAAATTAGTGCCGTCGTTAGCTTCAGGCACCTCGGCAAATTGAAGAATGCCGACGCTAATTTCGAGGGCTGTAGCAATGTAGATTATTATTACATTGTGTACAAATACAATATTTAGATAATAAGAACGTGTATTCAATTATAGAAAAGTTAGCCCTGACGAAGGACAGTGTTCTGTCCCAAAAAGCTAGGCATTTATCTCACTGGCTGTTTTTATTTTACGTTTAAATTTTAGCTTTTGTATCTCACTGTTTTTTTTTTTTTGCAGTATTTTGCCTTTTGGATTATAAATAGAAGTTGTTATAATTTTGTTTTGTATACTTGCAAAGGTAATTAAAAATACCTGCATGAAGGAAAGGCAGTGTATTAGCTGTTATGTAGATGAAAGTATAAGAAAACTAGTAAGTAGATAGAATCAGATTGCTGAACTGCAATTGAATGTAAATAGTTTAAAAAGAAACGCTGTGAAAGAAAATACATAATTACAGTACAAACAGTGTATGATGTGCTATCCATTTACTTATTGTTATTGAAAATTAAAGTAACCACAAAAGTGTTTGACTGTTGGATTTTTATTTAAAATAGTGTTTAATACATTCTAAAATCAAACATAGCAACACAATTCAAAACTGAAAATTCAACACTTTTAAATGGCATCTTTCAGTAATTACCGGTATTTTTCATTTTTTTTCTTTTCTTAGGTAGGGAGTGGGGCACCCCATCCCAAACCACCCCCGCTTAAGCAACAAAAGTTAAATTTTAACACTGTTAAATGCCAATTCAAACACTGTTAAATGGCATATTACAATAATTATTTTCCATTTTTTTTCTTAAGTAGGGAGAGGATACACCTCCCAAACCCACCCCCGCTCGGGTCAATGAGCCCTCGGATGTCGCTCCGCAACGTGTTCCTCCGCCTATTACTAAAACTCATCCTGTTATTTCATTTCAAAATGACACCACTGAATTATGGATTTAAAAATGGTGCTACTCGGATGATTTATTATTAAAGAATTAACATATTTAGTTAGACTCATAAATCATTGCTATTTCCGAGCATCTAAGGGGCTAAAGTGGTTTTTTTCTCTTAAGCCAACAGCACCCACAATTCATTGAGCAAATGTTTTATTTTCTCAAATTAAGACACTCCGTCGGAGAGGAAAACAATTTGCAGAAATAAATTACCTTTTTGACCGATTATAATACTAATTATTACTACTACTATGCCTACTGGTAAAATAAAGTACATTATTAAAAAAAACAAACGTTTTCTTCATCGCTAAACTGTCGGAGTTCCAGGGGCTTTACCTCCTCCGAGGGGTTCTGGACAGGCCCTGACTGGCCTGCCCAATAAACGGTCCTGTCGGAACATCCAACCACCGTCTGAAACATACGATCATCGGGAATGTCCTAACGCCATCACAAATCTTATTAAATCAATTATAAGCTGCTGTACTTGGTTGTACGGATTTTAAAATAAGGAAAATTTAAGTAATTGAATAGGTATGGCGAACCAAAAATAAACAGATCACGTTAAAAGAAAACTTACAATTACGCAATTTAATGTTCTTATTACAGTTAGAGAGGGATTTTAAGATTTTACAGAAAGTAAGTTCACAACTTCATCGTCCCAATCAAATCGTTCAGAACTGGTCAAATTTATTCCTCGACAATACAATACAATACAATACAATACTCATTTGCTCTCAGAATTTCATACTTATGATACAGTACCAATAATTGTATTATTACCTCCGAGGCAGTGGCGGATTCCAGGGGACCAAGCCGGCCCGGGGCCCCCTTTAAAAAAATCTTGATCAAATTTAGGTCTGGGAGTGCTATTTCCGGCCATGTAGAGGTGCCATAATCTCCATCTGTGAAAGTCTCTCTCTGGGCCCCTCTATTTCGAAATCCTGGATCCGCCACTGACTCTTATTAGTTACACTAATACCTTATTAACGAATTCATAGAATCAAAATAGGTGTTGTTTGTTGGTAGAGAAAAATAACAGCAAGCATTTCAAAAAGAAGGCTTAAAAATATACCGTATATATAATTTTTTCAAAATATGTGATGAAATGTAAATACTGTAGGATTATATCAGTATTTTCCGGGCATCTGCCTAGTTTGCAATGCGAAATAACAATGGAACACATTCCTTTACTTCAAACAAGGAAACATTTATTATGAGCCGGCCAAGAAGAGTAACCCGTTATCACAATGCCATCTACCCATACGATCCAGCGTCTCTACGTGTGGTCAACTCCATACCTGCAGTGCACAAGAGCAGTCAGAAGTTGTCGTCCGAACTCAATAGGACCGTTGCTCAACTGTCACACAGTGTTGAGTCTCTTCGTAGCGGACTTCATGGCAGCCTTTCCTATGAGCAATTTATGGCAGGTAGGTCACAGAAAAAACCTTAATTATATAAGCATATATGCTACAGAAAATGTTTTTCCCCCTTTTTTTTAACTACAAAAATAAATGGAGTGGAGTTGAATGTCTTAGTGGTTAAGATGCCTTCCAATCCCAGGGTCCTTGGTTCAATTCTTGTCAGTGTTGCAGGCATTTTTCTCACGACCAAACAACCCGACTCCCTAAGCCTCACATTGAGATTTAGTTTGTGTAAACGCATCGTGTGGGTGTGTGTGTGTGTGTGTGTGTGTTTGTCTTGTAAAAGGGATTGTCACAGTTATATTCGCAATTCCTGGCGCATGTGTGTGCGTCCAAATTGGGTCTATATTGTTTCATTGGAGCTGGTCATCTTGCTATTAGTGATGATTACATTGTTTAAGGGTTGATTGATTATATTTCGAGATATGTGTGAGATCCCTATGGCCCGCATACGATCTACAGAAATACTGACTTGACATCAAACAATTTTAATACTCAGTAAAACTTTTTCCGTACAAAGTTGTGTTTCGATTCACGCACCACACGACCAAGTAAACGAGCGGAAACAATGATCATCAAGTTTATTTTCAAAAAATATTTATTTTGTCCCTTCATTCTAATTCTATAACTCTTTTTCTAGATATGCTCTACCACGACGAGGTCGTACTGGCTAATCGACAGTTTTTGCAGTATGCCTTCGTAACATTCGAACTGCTGGCGAATCACGGTAGTCCAGTGCTGCCACATAAGAAAACTATGACGCAAGGAAGAGCTTTCCTGACCAACCGTAGGCTAATTGTACTGAGCAACGAAGGGACATGCAGTAAGTGTTTCACTTTTCTATGTTAAATCATTGACAATGTTTACATCGCAACCAGCTTAGTCCTAGTGAGTCTTAACCAGTTCGGTTATCTAATCCAATCCAAACTTAGACTTTCCAAGATAACTTTAAGGAACTTGAAACTAGGTCTCCCTCTAAATTAAAGACCCTCAATTCAATACCACCCCCTCTAAAGAGCACTCGTCTGTGGTCCTAAATTAACAAATGTATTTTATCTTTTTATCATTGTAATTATAGACCAAAGCTGTTAAAGACCATGGAAACACCGGTCCCAAAAGTTGTCTTTAATTGGAGAGACCTGTAATTAGCATTCTAGAAAGATAGTCATACATTTTTTCGATATTTTGTCTACACAATGATATCAATGTAAACAATGTCACACTGATTTTCACATTTTATCTAGGCTCTACAGATGGAACCGTAGTTTGTAACTACCATATTCTTACCATATTTTAATTATAGGCACAGCGGTTGCTGGAGTTGCTTATACCGGAACGAAACCGAGTAAATACTCGGTGAAGTGCGAGGCTGGTGACGCTTTCCATTACCAGTACCTGCCACTGAGCAGCATTCGAGCTGTCGAATTTGATGCCATCATTGGTGCATCGATGTCTACATACATTGACAGCCAGGAAGCGTGTTGCCTCTTAAAGATGCTCAGTTGGCTCGGGGTGAGTATAAATGTTGCAGTTTGTGTTATTTTGTTAAATGGCTTTTTGCAGTCACGGAGCACTTAAGCGAACTCTACGACTTTTTACTCCGCAAATACTTCCCAAAGGAACCAATTATGGCAGTCGCTGCCCCCGAAGTGGCGGCCCGGGCCCAGCCATCGGAGTAGAGAGATTTCGCAACCTCACGAAAACGATAACGAATACGAATACGTCATTATCATTATCGTCATTCATGCCTAAAACATACTTGACAATACGCTGTATGAGCTGAATAAGATCCTTGATTCATGCAAAAGGCATGAATCGCCTACGTTGTTACAGATATGCTACTGTAGTTGAAGGGTTTTATAAAAATTTGATGACGTATCCGTATTCGTTATCGATTTCGTAAGCTTGCGAAAACTCCCTACTGTCGGAAAGTGACAGTGCCATTTGTCGGGGAAATAGTTTAATGAGAAACATCCACAGAACCCGAGACAGCTGAGCTGAGCGTGTAATTTTCTTGACTGCCTGATTGATTGATCATTGATTGATTGATTAATTGATTGATTGATTGATTGATTGATTGATTGATTGATTGATTGATGCTGATATTGGTGGGGGTGGACGGGAAGTAATTGTGATGGTGAAGATGAGGGTGGTGGTGATATAATTGAGAAAATAAAAGAACAACACACCAATCTATAACTCAAATTATCACATTTTTCACATCTTCCAGCATGCGATGTGTCTGCGAAGCTGGAATGAGGTAGGCCGTGTTTCAAACCCATCTTTAAACCAACGCGTTCTTAAATTGAGTGTGGACCTTCCGCCGTGGGGAAATCCGTGCATTGTGTCAATCTATGTACAGCCCACTGTCAGCATGCTACTTGTTAAAGAATTTCTCCGTGACTTACAATCATATTCGCCAGCGATGAAAATCAAATCTTGTGAGAAAGAGGCCTAGACACGAACGAGATCAATATAGAGTAGTTTTCTGATTGCTTTTCTTATCCAAATTTAAATTTGCACTTAATGTTATATTTCACTGATAGGTGTTGCTATGCTAACATAATTTAGAAAAGTTGAATAATCTTATAACAAAATTGTTTTAGAAAAAAAAAAAACTTTAAATCTTGCGAGAAAGAGGCCTAGACACGAACGAGTCCAATAGTGTTTACTGACC